AAAGAGGGGCGCCTGGGTGGCTTAGTCGGTTAAGTGTCCGACTTTCGCTTAGGTCATGATCTCGTGGTTCGTGGGTTTGAGCCCCGCATCGGGCTCTGTGCTGACTGCCAGCTCAGAGCCTGGAGACTGTTTCAGTCTGTGACTCCCTGTCTCTCTGACCCTCCCCTGCTCACGCTGTCTCTCTCTCTCTCTCTCCTAGAAATAAATAAAACATTTAAAAAAAGGAAGGAAGGAAGGAAGGAAGGAAGGAAGGAAGGAAGGAAGGAAGGAAGGAAGGAAGGAAGAAAGAAAGAAAGAAAGAAAGAAAGAAAGAAAGAAAGAAAGAAAGAAAGAAAGAAAGAAAGAAAGAAAATGAATCCCTGGGCAGAAGAAAGGGGAAATAGGCATGAAGAAAACATGACAAGAAGGACATAAAAATGCAGGCAGGCGGGCATCCTGACAGATATCAGCTGGGACACCTAGAATGTGATGAGGATTTTTGAGTCTCTTGACAGAGGTGCCTGGCAGGCTGGAGGGTGCAGGGTGGCTGTGAATCTATTTCTCCATATTCATGGAATGGGGAGGTAGGGTTCACAGGACTCGGGGTTCTTAGGGAAAATGGACTGAGAAGTGGCGACTGCCAGGCTCAGGGCTTTTTCTATTATGATCTCATCTAGCCCAGGGATTGGGCCCTACATTCCATAGACCTAGAGGTATCAGTGGTGTTATTAATCAGAAGAGGGATCAGAGGTCCTGTCAGCAGCCAGTGAAATCGTTTGCCTGTGGGTGTTGCCCCCACGCAGCTCTGGTGATGCTGTGACCACAATGCCCCCTCAATCCCGCACTCTGCCCTTGATCGATGATTCAAGCCTGCCCCCCATCCCCCGCCGGCTCCCTCAGAACCCCAACAGAAACCTCACCATGCCTGACCCTTGTCACCCACTCCTGGGCACAGCCTATGTTGCATGCAGGGAAAGGAGCAAATGGAGTTATAAATGAGCTGAAGATGAAGGGCAAGTGGGGAGAAGATGAAAACGGGTGACGAAGGTGAGGAGGGGAGGGTCCATGTGAGAATGAAGGTGAGGAAGTGAGGACGCAGGTGAGGAGGTGGAGGGCCCAGGTGGGGATAAGGTGAGGAGGTGGAGGATCCAGGTAAGAATGGGGAGAAGGTGAGATGGGGAGGGGATGAAAGAGAGGAGGGGAGGATCCAGGTGGCTATGATGGTGTGGAGGGGAGGACTGTGGAGCCCTCACGAGTAGTGTAGCTGTTGGGGGCCAGGTAAAGCGTGTGAGGATGCTGGTATCAACACAGTGGATCAGAAGGATGTAGGTAAAAGTACTGGTGAGGACCCTGATGAAGAGACAGAGAACACACATGAGGATGCAGGTGGAAAGAAAGCAAGTAGGCAAGAAATCAAGGGAAGATACAGGCTCTCTTCAGACTATGTGCAGGTGCAGTGCAGGTGCAGGGGGACACGTGCCCCCTGGGCGAGGAAGCAAAGTTGCGGGTGGTCCACAGGAAGGAAGGAGTGGGCATCAGGTAGGTCTTCCTGCGGATGGAGCCGAGTTGCAGGGGAGGAGGCAGGGGATCACAGCTGCCTCTTTCCCTCTCTAAGACCTCTGGGCTTTGGGAGGCACGTGAACTCTAAGAGAAGCTTTATTGTGGGGGCTATGAGGAGGGGTCAGTTGGGACAGCCAAAGACAACCATGTTCTCAGTGAAGTTGGCCAGGTCTTGGCACTGCTTCTCATTCTCCTCATCTTGGCATTCGTCGGCCTCCGGCCACAGCTCCACCCAGGTGTCCTTCCCGATGATGTAGCTGACACTGGGGGGAGGGAAGCAGGTGAGGAGCATGGCAGGGGAAGCATGGGATGGGGTGACCCACCGTGGGGGGCATGCACAGGGCGGGCACTCACTTGGGTTTCTCTCCCCACAGGTCGGCAGAGAGGCCCCACATGAGGTAGTGTTTCCCTTCCTGCAGCCTCAGGGCTTCTCTGCACTTGATGTGGCTGATGAAAATACGATACTATCCAGCCTACACCTAATCAGAGCCTGGATGGGAGGGACAGGGATGCTGAATGGGGGAAGGGAGGGACCCAGCAAGAAGGAAGTGGAAGACAGAAGACGGACTGCAGAGCTGACCTGATTTGATGAACTGCTCAATGACCATTATGTAATCGTCAAAGTCTTCTGACAGCTCCTTCTTGAGAAGCCTGGTCTTGTACACTGATTGGGGGAGGAGGGGAAGCACGGCGGGGGGTCATAGGCAAGGGTGGCTGTGGGGCACCCTCACCTGCAAGCGCACCTGGCCATACGGTGTCTCCAAGCAGATACACGCAGGGTCACAGCCAGACGTGCCCCAGTCCCTGCCCCCAAGTAACACACCCACCACGCATGGTCCTACAACCACCATCTCACACAGCCACACACAGAGCCACGTGCACCTCACAGTCACCCACACGGGGAGTCCTAGGCATAACCTCCCATCCACTGTCACCCGCAACCACTGTCTCATCTCTCCATGGTTTGGCACAACTACAATGTCACACACACCACTGTGCATACGACCATGTCTACTCACACACTTGCACACACCCAGCCCACTCATTACCATGGATCCCCATGCAATCATGGCCCCTCACAACACATTTACACACGTGCGCTCACACACACACACACACACACACACATCATCCACAACTACAATCCAAAGTATAGCCACATGCACCCATGGGCACTTACAACCAGTCACTCACACAACCACGGCTACACACAGTGTTGCTCACACACGCGCCCTCTCACCGTAGTTGACTCCCGGCTCACAGGCCTTGTCCAGACGCTCATCCAGGGTGATCTTTCCATCCACCTGGTGCATGAAGCAGTTCTCTGTGCGGTGGATGAGTGGGGGACATGCTTTCATCACACGTCTTGTCCAGGACCCGCCACCCCTGGGCCCATCCCTCTGGCTGTGCACTGGGTTGGGGCCACCCCTTCCTGGAAATTTTCTGTCCACCCTCACCACAGCGGCACACATCTTTGTGACAGAGCTTGCTCAGTAAACCGTCTTCTTTCTCTGGGCTGTAGAACTTGACACAATTCTCATCTGTGGGCAGAGTGGCAGGAAGGTGTCAGAGGGCTGGGCCCCCCAGCCTAGAGAACCCGGGGGCTCAGATTTCCCAACTGCAGTCCCTCAGACCTGGAGAGGCCAGGTCCCCAACCCTGGGACCCTCAGAGCCCCGCTTCACAGAATCCCCGGACCCCCTGGCCCTAGGGGGGCTGCTCACCCAGGTTGTAGTAGGAGTACACCTTGACCGACCCGGGCTGGATAAGCTCCACACTGAAATACTGGTGCACTTTGAAGGTCAGACAGTCCTCTTGGTCATGTGAGATCTGGGGGAAGAAGGAGGCTGGTCAGTGGGGTACACGGAATGGAGCCCAGCATAGGGTACTAGAGGTTGGAGCAGTGTTGGAGAAACTGAGGCAGCAAGGTGGGATACGGGTAGGGAGCAGGAGTCTCTAGCAACAGATTTATGAGCACTTCAACACATCCATTTCCCGTTTCTCCAAGGCTCGCAGCTAGATTATACCTGTCAGCTTCCTTTCCTAGTTCAGTGTGGCCGTGTGATGGAGTTCTGGCCATCGGACTGCTATCTCTGCCCATAAAAACATCCATGGTAAATGCTACCACAATGTATACATAAAAGGTCTTGAGCATTTATATCATAAAAGTTCTCGTCACAGGGTAATACAGATCAAAACCACACTGAGATACCACCTCACACCAGTCAGAGTGGCTACAATTAACAACTCAGGAACAACAGATGCTGGTGAGGATGTAGAGAAATGGGAACCTTCTTGCACTGTTGCTGAGAATGCAAACTGGTGCAGCTGCTCTGGAGAATAATGTGGAGGTTCCTCAAAAATTAAAAATAGATCTACCCTATGACCCTACAATAACACTACTAGGAATTTACCCAAGGGATACAGGAGTGCTGACGCATAGAGGCACATGTACCCCAATGTTCATAGCAGCACTTTCAACAATAGACAAATTATGGAAATAGCCTAAATATCCATAACTGATGAATGGATAAAGAAGATGTGTTTTATCTATATACTGGAATACTACTTGGCAATGAGAAAGAATGAAATCTGGCGATTTGCAACAACATGGATGGAACTGGAGGGTATTATGCTAAGTGAAATAAGTCAGTCAGAGCAGGACAGATATCATACGTTTTCACTCATATGTGGAACTTGAGAAACTTAACAGACCTTAGGGGAAGGAAAGGTGAAAAAATAGTTACAAACAGAGAGGGAGGGAGGCAAACCATAAGATACTCTTACATACAGAGAACTGAGGGTTGATGAAGAGGTACGGGGGAGAGGGGGAAATCGGTGATGGCCATTGAAGAGGGCACTTGATGGAATGAACACTAGGTGTTGTCTTTAAATGATGAATCTCGGGAAAATACCCTCAAAACTAAGAGTATACTGTATACACCATATCTTAGCCAACTTGACAATAGTCAAATTTATACTAAAAAAAGATGCTCATCGTATACAACACACAATGACGTTAAAACTATGTGAGGTAATACATGTATTAAGTACCCTTATTGTGGTTTTCATTTCCCAATATGCACATACATCAAATCATTACATCATACACCTTAAACTTACAATAATGTTATATGTAAATGACATCTCATTTAAGCTGAAAAAATAAAGACCGAGATAGAAGCAAAAATATATATGCATATATATGTATACCTGATAGACAGGTGTATTTGGAAACTGTGTTTTACAGCTCTGCGATTTCCCTGTAAGGTTGAAACCCCAGCTCATGCACAATCCTCTTTTCTTCTAGAAAGGAGGAGGTCCAACAGAGGACTCTAAGATCCTAGGCATTGAGGAGCCCCAAGAAAGAACGTGCATGGATCCCTGAGCGACTGTGTGGAGCAGAAAACCCTTTCCATAGCCTCCAAACTGGACTTTACCTGAGTGGGAAAAAGAACACTCTTGTGTTGGGACCCTCATATTCTCAGGAGGTTTATTACAGCAGCCAGTGTTACTTCTGCTGACTAATATGGGGTGAGGGGCCTTTGGGCATATTGGGAGTTAGCAGGGGGCATATGAGGATAGGAAAATGGGCAGGTGTAAGTAGGGGAGAGGAGGAAGCTCAAGTCTATGTTAGAGAGGAAGACAGGGAGAGAAGTTCAGATGGAGAGCAAATATGAAAAGAGAGAAATGCCAGGGGGTGTGGAGCAAGGAGAATGCTTTTAAGCTCTGAGCGCTTTAGTTTTTAAATCCAAATGGCTCTTTTCAATGGTTGTTTAGGACTCTGATGAGAAGAAGGTGGAGGAAGAAAGTGTTAAATGAGGTTGGAATGAGAATGGTCAGAAGGTGAGCTGCTTAGAAAACATGAGATGACTTTCATTGACCACCTTATTTTATATGTCCCTTCCTCCACCACCCAGACACACCAGACCCCACATCCCCTAGCCAGGGCCTGGTGTGACTAGAGGGAGGCCAGCCTAGTGGAGATCAGGTCCCAAAAGGAAGCCTTACCTTGTCCAGGTAGATGATGAGGGTGTTCTTATTGGAAAAGGCCTTGTTCAGGTCACACATAGAGATGTATCTGCCAACGCCATTGCTCAACTAGTGAAGGTAAGGACTTGTGAAAATCCTTCTAAGGCCTCTGCCCACAGATGCCAGCCCCCAAGCCCAAACCCTTCATACCAGGTCAAGGTCACCAATGTCAGGAGAAAAGCTAGTCATCATGGATATATCCAGGATCGACATGGTAGCATCCTTGTCTCCCAGGTACCTGAATAGGGAAGGGAGAGGACAGTTGGAGCCAAGGGTAGGTTCAGACCTGGGGATCAGTGTCTGGACAAGGGGGTCTGAACAGAGACTGGGGTTCCTGACTCCCACATAGCAAGAAGGATATTAAATTGTAGGAAACATTCCCTAAAGGGAATAAAGGAAATGCAGTGTCATGGTCAAGGTGACTAATAGCTCAGGCTCTGAAGCCCATTTCCATGGGTTCAAATCCCAGCTCCATATGGCATTTGATGAGTCACTTGACCTCTCTATGCCTTAGCTCTTTTAGAAAATAAAAACAAGAGCATGTTACCATATGGTCTAGCTCAATAACGCCAGGTCCCCAGCACCAGGTTATAGGCATTGTAGTTGCATAAAGTACAAATACAAATCCTGTCTCTAGTTCTAGATTCACTAACAGTTGTACAAATCACGGACACACATCACAGTCAGTGACCAATCATGCCATGTCTTTCAAAGCCTGTGTGTGACGGGTCACTGAGCGGCCTATGAAGTTCATGCACAGACAGCAAGGCCTGTGGTAGTGGCACTTCCTTATACCCAGGGATAAACCACATGACATTTTACAAAATTGGCCAATTGGTAGAGGGAACTGGCCAGCCAAGATGAAGCACAGCAGTGAAATGAAGACGCTGGAGGTAAAATTTGAATAGCACATAAACGGAGTTAGAGAAGAAACAGCAGACTGTGTGAATGTCACCCTTGCTGCCACTGGAGAGACTGGCTGCCTTGTGACATTGACGGCTCAAAAGATTAGATGTCAGAAGCTGGTGTAAGTTAGATGGGAGCATGACAATTCACTGGCGCAGGAAAAGTGCTTGCTTTATCCTTATCCCAAGTGATACAAACAGAAGGAAGAAGCACAGTACTTTGGTAAGTGTTTTACAAAGGAGAAAAAAAATTACTCGTATCTCCGTGTTCTAATGTTTTAATTGACAGCATAATAAGCAAGTTCTCATGTTCCTGTAATTTTCATTTCTCTGTACCTTTCTAACTGGCAGGATGAGAGTTTTTGAGGTTGTGATAAATGCTCTAAAGGTCATGGAACAATTGTAACTCTCCCATTGATTTGTTAGGATTGCTTGTATCGTTTCAGCTTATGTGGCCGACGCTAATCTCCGGTGCCATGCAGGCTGGGGACTGCCTGGGGTATCCACCTCCCGGCAGGTACTTCAGACAACACCAGATGCAAATGCGCTCTTAGAAAGGATTAGGTCTTGGAAAGGAGAAGTCTTGCTATCGACAGAGGAATGACCCCCAGTGATCCCTCACTTACCTGGTACAGATGTCAAGGATCATGGTGTCCAGGGCTCCCTGAGGCCTCTTGACTAGAAACACAGAGACAGAAAATGGGAGGGGGTGTCCCTGGGTCCCAATGCAGGAAGGGGGCAGACGAGAATGAGGGTGGGGGAAGGGTCACATGTAGAGTCTTTACTCTTTTACCGTCTTCAGGAGCTCGTCGTATATCCACCCTGAGGTCAAACTTCTTGCAAGTGTGTTTGGTTTTGAGCTTGGCATGGTACGTTGTCACCACCTGGTGAGACAGCAGGGCGATGACGTGTCAGCCCACTTGAGTTGAGAAGAAGATGGTCCCTCTGGGCCAGAGATGCAAGAGAAGGTGGGCCAAGCCGGTGTGTGTTCCTGTTCCTTACCGACAAGGTGCCTTGTCCTTTTCCCTTAGCTGTTACTACAAAGTCCTCATTTTTCTCGGTCTGCAGGGAGGAAGGAGAGAGGAGAGAGGTGTTGGGAACCAAGCATTCCCCTGGCTGCAACAGTCATCTGCCACATCTCTTGCCTCTGGGAAACCCTGGCTGGTGTGGAGTGGGACAGCAAGGGTTTAGCTGGGCAGTTGTACCTTTGCTGACCGCTGGAGGCTTGCAGATTCCCAGAGGATTCTGTACCTGATGACAGATCTGTGGCTGGGCAATTCAATTGATACTTCCAGGCTCAGGTCCTCATGGTCAGGGACATCCTTCTGGTATTGGGCCAAGGCTTGGAACACCATGAAGGTGGCCTAGAACCCATGAGAAAGAATTAGGGTGAGCCATGAGACTGAGAAAGTGGTTAGAACTCACTGGGGAAGGAAGAGACTCAGATTAGAGGGAGTGGGTACTGAGACAATAGTGTAGGACCCCCCACCCCAGAGAGTGAGGATAAGATTAGGCATTGTTAGACACTGAGAGCATGGTCTCGTTTCTCCAAGGGACAATGGCTTAGACAAGAGCTTGGGCACACTGAGAACAAGTCTAGAATCCACCAGAAATTTCAGATATAATACTGAAACTCTAGCAAAACTGAGAGTGTGTCCAGCCCCCTTCAAAGTAGATTCTAAGACAGGGGCTTGGAGTCACTGAGAATATGTATAGAACTCATTTTTGGGAAAAAAAATGAAAATTAAATGAAGTTGGAGCCTGGGAAACTGAACATATGAGCTAGAATTCAAAAGGGATACTGAAAATGTGACTGACAGCTCTCCAGAAAGTAGGAGACCAAACTCGAGCCTAAAGTCCATGTCTCCAAATTCACCTTCCAGGGACAGAGAGGCTTGGATGATGTCCTAGAATATCCAAGAACATGGTCCATAATCCAGAGTGAGAGGAATTAACACTGGGAATCTGGTGTAACTGAAAAAATGGTCTAGAGCCCACAGGAAGATTTGTGCTAACACTGGGAGCCAGGTACACCTGAGAACCTTGTCTAGAAGCCACAGGAATATATGGGTTAACTCTAGGAGCTTGGTGGAACTGAAAACATGGTCTAGAAGACATGGAAGATATGAGCTAATAGTGGGAGCCTTGTGGAACTGAGAACCGGGTCTAGAACCTACAGGAAGATATGGGCTAACGCTGGGAGCCTGGTGGACTGAAAACATGGTCTGCAACTGACAGGAAGACATGAGCTACACTGGGAGCATGCTGGATCTGGCAACATGATCTTGAAAAAATGGGAAGATATGGGCTAATACTGGGCACCAGCTGGGACTGAGAATATGGTCTGGAACCCATGAGCTGGCACTGGAAGCCTGGTGGACAACAGAAGCTGGTCTAGAATGCACGGGAAGATGTGAGCTAACACTGGGAGCCAGATGCAACTGCGAACATGGTCTAAAACCCGCAGGAAGATAGGCACTAACACTGAGAGCCTGGTAGGACTCAGAAACTAGTCTAAAACCCGCAGAAAGATATGAGCTAACACTCTGAGTCTTGTCAAATGAGGACATAGTCTAGAACCCATAGGAAGTTAGGAGGTAACACTGAGAGTCTTGTGGAACTGAAAACATCATCTAGAACACACAGGAAAATATGAGCTAACATTGGGAGCCTGGTGGAACTGAGAACATGGTCTAGATACGAGGAACCTAAGAACACAGCTTGGGCATTCAGAGTGTAGTCTAGAATCTGCCAGCGGGATCACAACTAAAAATGCCTGATCTCTCAAATGCATTCCAGCCACTATGGCTGTGGGACAGAAGGACTGCCCCTCTTGGTCTTAAGGTCTTCTCTGGAGGCCAGTGGGAGGCCAGAGGAGGCAGGAATGCAGGTGCCTAGGGGATGTATGGTCACTTGCCTGGGTGGAGCCATATCTCTGGAGAACACTTCCATATTCCATCTGCTCTTTGAGCCATTTGGTGACAGGATGTACAGAGTCAAAGTCTTTGAGCAACAGTAGGGCCAAGAGGGCATAGGATGTGGCCTCCACATTGTAGAGCTGCTTGCCAGGCTTCTCCCACCTTGTTCTTTCTGTAGAGAGAACCCCCATCCCCCATACTCACTGCACTGTCCAGCGAGGAGATGCCTCAGAGAAAACTCAGAAAAAGACTCAGGATAGAGTTCTTGGTGTTCAGGTGTCCTGAGTGACATCCAAGGCCCTCACTCTGCCGGCTCCTGACTCACTCTCTTCTTTCAGTAACAGTCACTCCTCCATTTCAATTCTCATTTCCCACTGATCTACAGGAGATTCCCTAAAGTTTCCATGCTCATTCTTACTTCCTGGGCCTTTTCGTATTCTGTACCCTCTACTTGGAGCACCTTTTCTCATCTATTCCTGGTTAATCCCATCCTGCACAATTCAGCTTCAATGGCACCCCAAGAGTGGGCGAGGCCCTCCCTCTATCACTCAAAACATCCTGTGCTGTCCTGTGCCAGCACTATGATGCTCTATAGTAACCTATTAACTCATTTCTTTCCTCAACTAGAGCGTGAGCCATGATGGCAGGGACTCTGCTATGGTCACTGTGATGTCCCCAGTGCCCAAGAAGGCACTTGTAGCAGAGCTAGATTGTCACTAAAAAGCATTTCCTCCTCTGGGGAACCTGGATGGTTCAGTAGGTTGAGTGTACAACTTTGACTCAGGTCATGATCTCAAGGTTCATGAGATTGAGCCCCACGTCAGGCTGTCTGCTGTCAGCACAGAGCCAGCTTTGGATCCTCTGTCTTCCACTCTCTCTGCCCCTCCCATGCTTGTGCTCTCTCCTTCAAAAATAAATAAACATTTAAAAAAATGTTCGTTCATTGCCTAGGCACAGAGTTGGACTACATCTCCCAGATGTCTTTGCAGGCAGGTATGTCTACATGACTGAGCTCTGGATGATGGAATGGACACTGGCAATGTTAGGGGGCCCTTCCATGTCTGGTCTACCTCCCTTGCACAATCCACCTGACTGTTTCCCCTTCTGCTTAGATGCAGTGGATCCCAAGGACCCCGGGGTGGCAGAGCCATGAAAAGATAGAGGCCGGGATCCCTGCATCAGTGTCTGGAGGAGAGCTGGCCACCAATAACACACTTCCATTGTGCAAAACCACCTCAGCCTATGTGTTACCTGACATATGTTATACCAGGGAGTGGTGCAAACCTGATGCAGTATATTCACCTGAGCCAATGAATAAGTGCTCACTATGTGCTAGGCACTGTGTTAAATTCCCTATGGCATTATCTTATCTAATCCTAATTACCCTTGAGATAACAATGACAACATCAGTGATAGAGCTCTCACTCTATGCTAGACCTTCTACCTACATTACTCCTTCAATCTTCTCAACCACCTATGATGTAAATATCATCTTCAGATGAGGTCCAGGGAAGGTCAGTGATACAAAGGCACACAGTGAGAATGTGGCAGAGGGGGATTTGAAAATGGGTCTGTCTGACATCAGAGCCCACGTCCTTGCCGCTTGTCTCACAGCAAGTGCTCAACACACTGTTGCTGAATGAATAATGCTACCTTCTTGTGTAGCTTACAGTGAGGACTGGTCACAACTCAAAGCCATTCACCCAGCACGGCTTGGCACCGTGCACTCCAGCTCATCTTGAAGCTTTCCATCCCAGTGCAGCTTATAGCCACACATTCCAGCTCAAGATAACCAACTCCAAACGCTGGCCATGCATTCCTCTTTACCTCGCCAGGCTGTCCCTCACCTTTGGCTGTGCTCAGAAATTTTCTGAGGAGATCTTTCTCCAGCCTGCCTAACTGGGCCAGGGCATAGCCTGCAATGGCCACAGAATATGGTCGCCGCAGGTTCCTGTAGTGGGCTTCAAGATACTCTCCTCCCCTATTGATGCTGTGCTCCAGGCTCTGTAAGAAAGAGGATTGGGTTCTCTGGTAAGGTGGATATTGCTACCACAGAGAGCTGGTAACATTCACACAAATGCCAATTCCTGAGAACAAGGATGGTTTCCGTCCTTGGAACATAATTATTTAGGATCTGCCTTTTTTTTTTTTTTTTTTTTCCAGACATTTTAGTCTCCATGAACTGCCTTGTTGCTGAGTACCTCTGATGTGCCTGGGACAGTTTATATAGCCAGTGGTATACTGGTAACAGTTAAAACACCAGCCCTCCAAAGTTGGGGGCCTGTTTTATCGCCTGCCAATTACTGTGGCGTAAATGCTCCCATTGTGGCCAATTTCAAACTATCAGCACAATGGCCCTGAACATGGAGTGGAGACTAGATGTTGCAGATAGGCACTTATGAGCTAGTATGAAACAGCTTCAGGACCCCACTGGGAATACCATTTATCTAATAATCAGCTTCATAGCTAACACTTACTAAATGGCACAGACCATCAGTGAACTTAAGGATCCTGTGGTGTAGGCATTATTTTCATCATCATCATCTCTACTGCACAAATGAGAATATTGAGGCCCAGAGGGATGAGAGGTGGAGGAAGACATGATTTGTAGTGTTTGAGAACTTTCTTGATTAAATATTACCATGGTCAATTTCAAACTATGTGTAGTTAGTGAATGCAGAGTTGGGAGGAGGTGGACAGCTTCACAGAATTAGATAGCATATAGGTACATAAGTATCCTTGAGATGGATAGATTTGTCATAGATAATGAGGGAAAGTAATAAAACAATTAGGAATTGATGTGTTTTGAGTGTTTATTACCTTTGCATTTAATACTTAAGGCTTAGTCTAAAGTCAGTTTTCATAATTTAATTGAAAAGAATGATTGTGTTTAACAACTAGCTTGTGAAAGTCCAGGAAATTTAACAGTTGGCTTTCACAGACTGATATCAGCACACTTTTTAAAAAAAAAATGTTTATTTATATTTGAGAGAGAGAGAGAGCAGCAGCAGCAGCAGCAGAAAGACAGAGACAGAATCTGAAGCAGACTCCAGTCTCCAAGCTGCGAGCTGTCAGCACAGAGCCCAATACAGCACAGTTTCTGGGCTGGAACTCCAGAACAGTGGTATGACCTGAGCCGAATTCAGAGGCTCAACTGACTGAGCCACCCTGGCATCCCAATTCTAGCACACTTTTGATCTGCACCCCAGCAATCTGGTTCTATAGCCTATGCTGTACTCAGTGATAGCATTGTGATAGGGCACCCTCCCTAAAGAATTAAAAGAAAAAAAAAACCCTCAAGGCAAAATGGCTATGAGAGTACTTGACATCTCTCAGGACCTTGTAACAGGAGACCACTTACTCAGACTGCATGTTAGTATGTTACCATATATGGGAGATAAAGAAGTAAAAAATATGTAAAACACTATGCCACCTGGAGTTAGGGGCTCAGTTATGAGGGGATAAACCCAACTGAGCCATGCTAGCATGAATAAAGTTGCTTCCTGGAAAGAAAAGGATTTATGTCATGACTCTCTCTGCAAGAATCCTGTTACAGTGTTGCCATTTTCTTAATATGTTGTTGTCTTGTAGCAGAAGTTAATCCTCCTCACCGCCCCCCACGCCCCCATGCCTAGCTGACTGTCCCCCATCTACTCTTGACTTTTGCAGAAACCTCTCTTTCATTCATCCTGCCGCAGTGGAAGCAGCCGTATTTGCCCAGTAAGACCTACGTCTTGGCCTCAGCTGATTGGCCCAAGTATGATCACCTGACCCTGGGCGGGCCAATCAGAAGCCCCCCTGGGAATCTGAAAGCTTTAGCTTTGGTCTGGGTATTTCCCCAAGGAAGGCAGCCAAGTTCTGCCAGACAGACTGGGTGGCAGGGAGAGGAATTATTGGGCCCAGAATGGACTGTGTCCTCTAAGTCTCAAAAGGTAACAGCCCCATCACCTCCATCTCTTTATGGGAGTCTAAGGAAGGGAAAAGCAGATGGCTGAAGGTAAGATCCTAGAGTCCCCAAAGTCACAAGCTAAAGGTCAAACAAACTATTCTCAAACCACAGGAAGAAGCAGAGGGAGCAAGTACAGTGACTTTCAGGAGCCCGTCTTTCTAAGCTTCTCTACCTCAGAATCAAAACCAGAGGAAAAAGAGACAGCCATGAGACAATATTTGTAATCATTTCCTTTTTGGTGTCATGGGCCCCTTGGAAATATTCCTAAGATCTCCCAAACTAAGAAGATAGTCTTGATGTGTTCTTAGGTCTGGGTTGTGTCTTTTGTTCAGGGAAGCAGCAAGGTACAATGCACTGATCATGTAGCAGTGATGGGGAAAGCAGGGTGAGATGCTTTAGCTGAAATTGGCTGAAAGTCTCTGCACATGGCAAAGTAGGCAGAAAGGACCCATTCTTTGATCTCCTTGTGTCTCAGTTTTCTCTTGTGTAACTTGGGGATAATAAGAGTCCCTACCTCTTGGGTTCTTACAAGGATTATAGGACTCAACATGTGCAGCTCTTAGTAGAGCATCTTAGTTGGGGCGCCTGGGTGGCTCAGTCAGTTGATTGTCTGACTTCGGTTCAGGTCATGATCTCACGGTTCGTGGGTTCGGGCCCCACGTTGGGCTCTGTGCTGACAGCTCAGATTCGCTTCGGATTCAGATTCTGCTTCGGATTCTGTGTCTCCTTCTCTCTCTTACCCTCCCCTGCTCATGCTGTCTCTTTCTCTCTCTCTCTCTCAGAAGTAAATAAAAAATTAAAAAAAAAAAAAAGAAGAGCATCTTAGCCAATTGTGCAAAAACTGCTGGGAATTACTATCGTATTCTGGGTCTTGTGGCCGCTGTTGTGGCTGTTATTGCACTCGGAAGACTGGGAATCACCTGAATGTAACACCTCACCCTCCAAGGTGGGTGTGCCCCAGGTAGGTGAGGGGAGAAGGAGAGGATGGTGGACACTTACTTTGACCTGATTTTGGCAAATATCTTCAGCCTCTTGCAGCACAATGAGAACAAAAGCTGTGAGGGACACATCCTTCTCCACATTCTCCCGGAAGCCACCCTAGAACAGGAAGCAGGAAACGAGGATAGTATCACCAGTGTGTCCCCCATTGCTGACGAATCCTCCTGTAGGTCAGCAGGTCAAGGAAAGGGCGAGTCTCTCCTCAGTGTCTCCCAGGGTGGGCCCCACTCTTCAGTATTCGTTCATTCAACAATTGTTTCTGGTGCTGTGGATAAGATGGTGGGTGAGAACCAGACACCAGCCCCACCCCCACAGTGCTCCGCATCTAGGGAGCCAGACATGAACCAGTTGGCTCACCAGTAGAAACATCATTACAAATTGTTGAGTGCTGTGCAGGAGGAGTAGTGGATGTGGCCGTGAGCATGGACAGTGGGAGTGTGACTCAGTTGGGGAGATCTGGAAAGATTCCCTAGGGGATGATAGGGGGTGTCATGCCAGGCAGTAAGAATACCATGTGCAAAAGCCATGTGGTGAGATAGAGCATGGCTCCTTGCAGTACAGATGGTGTATGGGTGGGGTGGGGGACGATGTGAGACTGGAAGCTTGAAAGTCAGGCTAAGGCAGGGATTCTCCACCTTATGCATGCATCAGCATCACATGGTGGGGAGAGAGGAGCTAGTAGCTACTGTGATTCCTAGGCGCCATCTCTGAAGTTTCTAATTCCTTGCCTCAAGAGTCCGGCTTGAGAACATGCATTTCTAACAAGTTTGAAGGTGATACTGATGCTGCTGGCCTGGGGACCACATTTGTAGAACCACAACTGTGAGGGGTACTATATTTTCAGACCAAAGGGGTAGGGACTTTAGTCTGCACTAGCCTCTGAAGGTCTCTGGTCTCTGCAATGGGAAAGTGACACTCACAGGGTAAGGGGGAGCCTTTCTCCTGCCTATCTTGTGACTCCAGGCACCCTTTCCCCAGCCTGCCCTAAACCCGTGCTTCTTACAGTCATTTCTTGGTCTATTACGGGCCCATCTTCCTGGAAGGCCCCGTCAGGCTTCTGCCTCTGCAGGATCAGCCATTTGACAGCCCCGCAGATGACATCGGACTGAATGGCAATGAGGTTGGAGGCCAGAGAAAAGACCTTGACCACGTAGGCTGTCAGCCTGTGGGCGGGCACAAAGCGTGAGCCTATCGCCTCCGGGATCCAGAGACGGGCATTCCAGTCAACCAATGAGCACGGGAGGGGCGGGGCCTAGAAGGTTCACCCAGCTCCCCCACCCCAGTCAGGTCCCAGCCTCGCCACAGGGGGCGCTTAATGTCTGCTGGCCACTTGGCAGCTCAGGGTGGGCGCCTTGTCTCTGCAGGCCGAGGGTCCAGAGCACAGGGCTGTTTGGGTGAGACCCTCTGGGACCGCCCCAGGCCGCTCTGTTTGTGGGGTGCCAGAACCGCTCACCAGGTGCTGGGCTTCCGGCTCAGGAAGGCAGCATAGGCTGAGTTATCCTGTCGGTAGGCCAGCTGCTGGGAGTACCCTGCGGGGAAGAGAGGAGCGGGGCTGAGCCGAGGGGTGGGCCAGCCGGGGGAGGGGCTCAGGGGGCAAGGACGCTCTGGGGGCGAGACAGGGGTCCAGAGAGGAAAGGGGGGACTCGGGGCGGCCCAGGGAAATCTGGTGGGGGAGGGGAGGGACTTCGAGAAGGGGAAGGAGTTCTCAGAGGCGAGGGGTTCAGAGAGGGGAAGGTTCTCACGGGGGTTCAGGGCCACAGTGACAGATGGAGTCCTGGAGGCCTCAGAGGGGCCAGGGTCTCAGGGAGGGCAAAGTAGAGGGAGGTCTTTGAGAAGAGGGGTCCAGAAAGGGGAGGGGCTTAGGGGAAGGGCGTGGCCTGGATGGGGCCTGGGCTCAGGGAGGACCCTGCTCTGGGAGGTGGCGGGAGCACGGCGGCTCTCCCACGTGGGCGCACCCTTTTCGATGAGCTGTAAGGCTTCCTTTCGTCTCCTGGGGCCCAACTTCTCCCACTGCCCGGTTTGGTCCAGGTAATGCACGGCGATGACGGTGGGCGTCATGCTTTTCATATTCTGCTCCCCACAGCCCGACGGGATCACGATGAGTTCCTTCAGTTGTTCTGGGTCAATGGCGTCCTCTGTCAACTGAGCCACCGGGGTCCCTGCCACCAGGAGGGAAGACCGCACTCAAGCAACTGACCCACCGTGGGGTGGGGTGAGGAGGGTCACGGCTGTCCCCAGCGACCCCGCGCTCCAAGCAACCAGTGCCAAAGAGGGGCAGTTGGGGGCTGAGGGGATGTGATGGAAGGGGAGCATCACGTTGAGTGTAAGGGGGGGGCAGGGCAGTGTGTCTACCTTTGTAAGAAAGGGGGTCTTATGCTTCACAGAACTCTGGTCCCTGAGCCTCCTGTTACACTAGTGGCGAATTAATTCCAGAAACAATCCTCACGAATACGTAGATCATACTTCAGGCTATTGCCAGGCGCTGTTCTAGAGAACAGCATACAGTATCTCATGTAATCCTCTCAACGCCCCTTTGATATAGGTACTATTATTCTCCCATCACAGATGAGGAAACCAAGGGTCCCTCCCCAGAATCTTACAGCTTCCAGGTCACAAGATGCCTTTCCAGGAACTTCTTTTCCCTTCTTGCTCCAGTCTTCCAACCCAGGCAATGAGTTCCCGAATTTCCTGCTCTTGAACTATACTGTTTCTCACTTAAACTTCTCTCTCAGCAAAAGCTGTTTGCTGAACTAATTAGTGCCTGGAGCCTTCGATAAAACAGATCAAGGAGGGGGCTGGCTGCCCTAGTTGTAGTGGAGGCAGGGGAGGTACAGTAGTAAATATGCCTAGAATTGGGAGGAACTAGTCCCCTTCTCCAGGGCGGTGCCTTCCTGGGTGAGGGGCGGGGGCTCACCTTGCAGGAGGATCCTGGTCTCTGAATCTGTGTCTGGGACTTGGTCACTGAGGTCGGCGGCGTGGATCTCCTCTCGCTGTACTCCGTCTGCCAGTGGAATGCGAGAGACCCATGACACCACCCTTCCCCACAAGGCCCCTCTCACCTCCACCCCCACACCTGGATCTCAACCCTCCTGCTGTGGCTGACTCACTTTGGCCCCTGTTTTCTGGATCCAGTGTGTGAACGGCCACTGTTCTGTTGACTCTGATTCCTTCCGGCTGAACAGTGTTGGGATGGGATGGGGGAGAGGGAGGTCAGGTGAGTAAAAGAATAGACACAGCTGGTCAGCAGGGCATGGGCACAATGGCATCGCCCATCCTAGCTCTGTGAAGTGAGTCAGTTTGCCCCCCACTGTCTCTAAAATAAAAGAATGTGCAGAAAGTACTGTGTATAATACTTGGCACATAGTAAGTGCTTAGTTAAACTAGGGGCTATCTCAGCATCACAGTCCCCAGTGAAGCTCTCCTTCCATGGTGGTTTATCCCTTTCCATCATCCATTATCCTTTAGTGTGATAAAAAAGCAAACATTTTCCTTTGGAGACCAAGTCTCCTCCATGGCATGCTGGTAAATATTTGACATCAGCTCTCCAGGAAGAAAAGAACCTGATTTGAATCACTGGCATTTCCCGTCCTGTGAATATCCCTGCTATGGCAGATTTCAAGCTTTCAGCAAGAGAGAGTGCAGAATTGGGAAGCTGTGGACACAAAGGCTCTGGGGTGCGCCATGCCGTCTCCAGCGCCCTACTCGGGTTTCTTCCCATTGGTGCCACACTGAGCCATATTGGGACCCCTGATAAAAGGGATAATTAAGGTTCTGCTCCTCGGGGTGCCTGTCTGTCTCGGTGGAAGAGCATGTGACACTTCATCTTGGAGTTTGAGTCCCACATTTGCTGTGGTGATTTTTTAAAATCTTGTGTCATCCGAGTGGCTCAGCTGGTTAAGCAACTGACTTTGGCTCAGGGTATGACCTCATGGTTCATGAGTTTGGGCCTCGTGTTGGGCTCTGTGGTGACAGCTCAGTGCTCAGAGGCTTGAGCCTGCTTCAGATTCTTTGTTTCCTATTCTTATTCCCTTCCCTGCTCGTGCTCTGTCACACGATAAATGTATGTCTCAAATATATACAAATATTTTTAAAAATTGAAAAAATCTTTAAAAATACTCAGGTTTGGTTCCATTAAAGTCAGGAAAGAAATGTTATAATAAGTTTTGGTTTGAGTATAAATAAGACATTTCACTGTAAAATAACACTCTCAGTTTTAAAGCATTTGCTTTTCAATGTTTCAATATTTTTTTCATCTACCTTAACTTTTGGGGGAAAATTAACCACTAAACAATGTTGACCATTAAAAAAAGAGATGTAGATGGGGGCCTCCATTTTTTCTTTAGCTTCAGGCTCCAATTGTGGTTCAACGTGCCACCATCTCCATTTAAAATTTTGATCTTTTGTTCATCATAGTTTTTGGCATTAATTTTGATTCTTTACAATATTGCATTAACATATTGTTGCTCATATGGTCTCATATTTTGCTTGAAAATATTAATAAAAGGTGATACAAGGCTTTTATTTTTTGTTTAATTTTTTTTTAATGTTTATGTCTTTGAGAGAGAGAGAGAGAGAGTGAGACAGACAGAGTAAGCTGGGGCAGGGGAGGGGCAGAGAGAGGGAGAGATGCTGAACTCAGCAAGTTCCAGGCTCTGTGCTGTCAGCACAGAGCCCAATGCGGGGTTCAAACTCACGAACTGTAAAATCATGACCTGAGCTGAAGTCAAACACTTAACACACTGAGCCACCCAAGGCACCCCCAGGCTTTTATTTTTATTGACGACTTGATCTCGTATTATATTTGAGAATGTTCATCACTAGGAAAGAGTAGAAACGTAAATGTTCCTCACTCACTCACCCTAATCCCAGCCTTGCTTCCAAATTTGTAGGACTCCCAAATTTCCTAAGTTGGACACTGGACACTCCTGGTGTCTCAGGGTCAGGGTCTCCAACCTGTGTTGAAAGCATGGGGACACAGAAGCCTCTCCCGAAGGACAAGAGACTGCAGGTGCCCCCATGGACTCACCACGACCTTCAAGGTCTTCTTGATACCATCCATGATGAAACGATTATAGACAGCAGCCTTGACCTCCACCTCATGTAGACCGACCTTCAGAGGCACGATGACAAAAGGCACAGCCACTGAGGACTTGGCTGGGATTTCCAGAATCTGCTGGTAGGGCTTCTTGGCAGTGGTCTGAATGCAGAAGACTGGGTTGTAGAGCAGGTTCACCTTTACCTGTGAGGGAGAGAGTATTAGGGGAATGTGCCATGGTCCACCCCCCCCCCAACCATCAAAGCTCTCCATCATACCTCTGCCACCATGGAAACCCACCTTGAGCTCCCCCACATCCTGGTAATTGTAGAGAACAGCTCGGATCTCCACTTGCTCATTGCGCACCACAGAGTACGGCAGTTGCAGGTCGATGAAGAAGTCTTGCTTCACCGTGACCTCGTAGGGATCAGCCACGCAGATACCTGCCCAGGAGTGGAGTGTCAAGGGGAGGAGGTGGACAGGGTCTCACTGCTTACCCCTGACTGTGGGAGCTGTGTCAAGCTCAGCCTGTGTTTGTAGAAGCCCGTGGGCTAAACAATTGTAAAGGTGATACATTACCGATAGCAGTGGCAGCTGGGAGTCACTGCGATGTATGATTTCCATTTCTTCTTGTAGTTTTATTCATAGGTAGGTGTGCAGGGGGGAAGAGCTAAGGCATACTTGAAGGGTCCATACCTGTGCTCTCCAAAATGGTAGCCTGAACTCTCTCTGGTCCCTGGGCACTTGGAATGTGGCTAGCTCAGAAAACTTTTTAACATATGTTTGGAAGACATTGGATATGTCAATCTACCTTTTCAATTGTACATTTTACAAATCCTAAAATACACATAAAAATATTTCCTTTGAAAGGCTAGGGACACCTTTCCACTGACTAGCTCAGTCGGTGGAGAGCATGACTCTTGATCTTAGGCTCATGAGTTTGAGCCCCATGGTGGGGGGTGAAGAGATGACTTACAAATAAAATTAAAATCTCAAAAAAGAAAAAGAGTAGCCCCCTCATTGAAATGCTCTGCAGATATAAAATATATGCTACATCAAAGGCTTAGTAAAACAAATAGAATGTATCATTCATCATTTTGAGATATTAATAGATTATTCTCAAATATGAATAGATGGTTATTATAACATTATTATGAATGTGGTGGTAGGTTTTTTAAACGTATTTTTCAACATATTTTTCAAAATATTTACCACATATTGAATAGTTTGGAGATATTTGGTTATAGAAAATGTATAATAAAAATGGATTTCTCTTCCTCCTTTTTTATGGGGCTACCAGAAGATTTAAAACGACAAACAGCTATATCATATTTCTGGTGGACAGTGATCTACAGGGAGTGAAAATCATGATGAAAGCAATGGTTAATTTCTGATTCAACAGCTACTAGGTTATATTCAAGCAAAGGATTAACTCAAGCAAAATTTGCAAAAGTATTATCATTTAAAAATATTACACTAAAAAAATAAATAGAAACACTGTTGCACCAAGAAGTATATTAAAATTTGGGGCACCTGGGTGGCTCAGTTGGTTAAGTATCCAACTCTTGATTTTGGCTCAGGTCATGATCTCCAGGGTTCCTGAGTTGGAGCCTTGTGTCAGACTCTGAGCTGATGGTGCGGAGATTGCTTGGGATTCTCTTTCTCTCTCTCTGCCTTGCACACTATCTGTATCCCTTTCTCTCTCAAAAAATAAGTAAATATTTTATTTTTTTAAGTAAAAAATTTTTAATGTTTTACTTATTTTTGAGAGAGAGATAGAGACAGTGTGAGCAGGGGAGGGACAGAGAGAGAGACACACACAGAATCTGAAACAGGCTCCAGGCTCTGAGCTAGCTGTCAGCACAGAGCTCAATGCAGGGCTCAAACCCACGAAACGTGGGATCATGACCTGAGCCGAAGTTGGATGCTTAACCAACTGAGCCACCCAGGAGCCCTGTAAATATTTTAAAAATACAGCTAAAAAAGAAATTTATTATAATTTAATAATTATTTTTGTGTATTCATTGGCAAAAAAAATAGAGACTTGAAGAAAATGCTTATTTGCTAACCTACAGTCATTATTCATCATTCCTGGGGGATCTGGTATAGTCACAGGCGGTAGTTAGCAATTATTTACTATTCATTTTTGCATTTTTTAAAATGTTTATTTATTTTTGAGAGACAGAGCTAGAACAAGGGAGGGGCAGAAAAAGAGGGAGACACAGAATTCAAAGCAGTCTCCAGGTTCCGAGCTGTAAGCACAGAACCTGACATGGGGCTCGAACTCACGAGCCATGAGATCATTACCAGAGTCAAAGCCAGATGCTTAACCAACTGAGCCAACCAGACGCCATCCCCACCCCCCGTTTTCACGTTCTTACAGTCATATTTAATTTGAAAAACCAGCTTTTGCACCATAAATAGGAGGCTACATCCAGGGAAACAAAACGGTTTTGTTAAATACTGGCTAGCTTGCGTTGTGCCTGCGCAAAGCGGGACCTGCTCTCTCCTTGCTAATCAAGGTCGACAAGACCTGGAGAGGAGATGAAGGCACCTGTGCACCAGGCTTCGCTGTTCCCTTGAACAAGACAGAAGGACCGAAAGAGAACCAAAAACGGAGTGACTTCTGACACACCATCCGTGTTATGTTTAAGGCAGAGAAACGACTATTCTCCGTGATCCTGGAAGGACAGCTACATGTCGCCACTGGTTTGTCCAAACCCGCGGAAGGTACATCACTGAAAGGGAACCCTAAGCTACTGACTGCAGTTAATGATAATGTATCAATATTGTCCCATCAAATGTGGCAAATGTACCACTTAATGCAGAAAAGGGGAATTTGGGGGAATTGAGGAGTGAGTGGCAATTCTCTGTGCTTTGTGCTCAATGGTTTCTGTAAACCTAAAATTGTTTAAGAAAACCCATTAATTAAAAAAGCACACACACAACTGGGGCACTTGGGTAGCTCAGTCAGTTAAGTGCCTGACTTCGGCACAAAATCTTGCAGTTCATGGGTTTGAGCCCTGCATTGAGCTCTATGCTTAGAGCTCAAAGCCTGGGGCTTGCCTCGGGTTCTGTATCTCCCTCTCTGTCTGTCCCTTCCCTGCTCATGATCTGTGTCTCTCTGTCTCTCACACAATCACAGGAAGAAGTCTGGAAAACCTCCAAAACATGGAGGTTAAAGAACACCCTAGTAAAGAATGAATGGGCCAATCAGGTAATTAGAAAAGACATTTAAAAATATATGGAAACAATTGAAAATACAACAATCCAAATTCTTTGGGATGCAGCAAAGGCAGTCCTAAGAGGAAAGTACATTGCACTCCAGGCCTATTTCAAGAAATTAGAAAAAACACAAGTACAAAATCTAACAGCGCACCTAAAAGAACTAGAGGGAGAGCAAGAAGAGCACCCCAAACCCAGTAGGAGAAGAGAAATAATAAAAATCAGATCAGAAATAAACAATATAGAAACCAAAGAAACAGTTGAACAGATCAATGAAACCAAGAGTTGGTTTTATGAAAAAATAAACAAAATTGACAAACCTCTAGCCAGGCTTCTCAAAAAGAAAAGAGAGAGCACTCAAATAGACAAAATCATGAATGAAAATGGACTTATTACAACCAACCCCTCGGAAATATAAAAAATAAATAAACATTAAAAAAATAAAATATGTTTGGCTTCAATGGCTTACACTCATCAAATATCTGTAATGTGCCAGCCACCATTTTTTTTTTAATTTTTAATTTTTTATTTATTTCTAGGAGACAGAGAGAGAGACAGCGTGAGCAGGGGAGGGTCAGAGAGAGAGGGAGTCACAGACTGAAGCAGGCTCCAGGCTCTGAGCTGTCAGTCAGCACAGAGCCCGACGCGGGGCTCGAACCCAAGAACCGCGAGATCATGACCTAAGCGAAAGTCGGACGCCCAACCGACTAAGCCACCCAGGCGCCCCAAGCCACCATTTTTTTAAAAAATAGTTTATTGTCAAGTTGGTTTCCATAGAACACCCAGTGCTCATCCCCACAAGTGCCCTCCTCCATGCCCATCACCCCCCTTTCCCTCTCCCCGAACACCCATCAGTCCTCAGTTTGTTCTCAACATTCAAGAGTCTCTCATAGTTTGCCTGCCTCCCTCTCCCCCCATTTCCCCTCTTCTTCTCCCACACAGTCCTCCGTTAAGTTCATCCTAATCCTCTTATATGTGCAAACATATGGTAGCTGGCCTTCTCTGCCTGACTTATTTCACTCAGCATAACACCCTCAAGATCCATCCATGTTGCTACAATATATTAACTCATAAAATCCCTTGCACAATATTTGAGTGGCTACTATTTCTATTGCACCCATTTTATGGATGCACACAGAAGGTGAGTTACTTGACTCAGGCTGCACAGCTGCCTAGGGGAGGACCTGGGATTTGAACCCATGCATTTAAGCTTGAGAAGCTCCCTGCTTGTACCCCTGATGACTGTTCATTCACAGTAGCTCAGGAGTCTGAAATTTCTGAATTCCACTATTTACCTTCCTAAAATATATATTCTGTCTCTAAGTTAGCATTCCTGAAAGGTTCATCCACTGGTGATCTTGGGCAGGAGACTTTCCTTCCCTGGCTTCAGCATCCTCATTTGTAGAAAAATAATAGTACCAACCTCAGAGGGTTCTCGTGAGCACTGAATGAGATAATGTGCTGGGAGTCAAAAATGGTCCTGGGTAAGGAGCACCTGTATGGCTCAGTCAATTAAACATGTGACTCTTGGTTTCAGCTCAGGTCATGATCTCATCGTTTCATGAGATGGAGTCTTGCATTGGGCTCTGTGCAGCCATCACCACAGAGCCTGCCTGAGATTCTCTCTCCCTCTCTCTGCCCCTTCCAACTCTTGCTGCATCTCATTCTCTCTCTCTCTCTCAAAATAAATAAATACACTTTAAAAAGTCATACCTAGTAAGACACAGAGTCTGATCTGGGGCTTGAACTCATGAACTATGAGATCATGATTGGAGCTTAGTTGAGACACTTAACTGACAAAGCAACCCAGGCCCCTCACACACCTCCTTTTTAATGTTTCAGTATTTTCCCCACCTACTTTAATGCTCAGGGGAAGAATTAACCTTTAAAATGTACCTGAATCAGGCATGGGGTGGGGGGTCACACCTTTTCCCTCTTGCCTCAAACTCGGTGATGGCTCAGCCCAGTGCTGGCTTCTATTTACAATGGAGATAATTTGTTCATCATGGATTTTTTTTTTTTTTTGGCATTCACATCGATGTTTTCAAAATGATCACATGAAATTTTTACTCATCTGGGCTTAAAGTAAGTGCCTCCCTTTCCTCACCCTGCTCCGAGGCCTCCCTGGGACCACTCTCATTAGGCCAGGGCTCCTCAGCTCCCCCTGAAGTGGGCCCCCTGCCCCCTGGTTACCTTTTTTTGTCAGGTTTCACAATTCAACCACTGATGTTCCAATCATACATTTCATACTGCTTCCTCTTTTATATTTTCTTAATCAATTTACCCATCACCCTGTCAATATCACCCCTAAGGGTGTTTGTTGTTATAAATTATTCTGTATGATAGTACAATGGTAGATACATGTCCTTATACCTGTGTCCAAACCTATAGATCGTACGATGCTAAGAATGAACCCTCATGTCAATGACGAACTTGGGGTGATGACATGCATGTCAGGGTAACAAGTGCACCATGCTGGTGAGGATGCTGATAGTACATGTCAGCATGGGGGAGACTGTGTACGTCGGGGGTGGGCAGACTGGACGTATGTGGGAACTCTCGTACTCTCCCCTCAGTTTTGCTGTGAACCTAAAACTGTTCTCAAAAGAAAATCTATTGGGGCGCCTGGGTGGCTTGGTCGGTTAGGCGTCCGACTTTCACTTGGGTCATGATCTCGCGGTTCGTGGGTTCGAGCCCCGCGTCAGGCTCTGTGCTGACTGCCAGCTCAGAGCCTGGAACCTGTTTCAGTCTGTGAATCCCTCTCTCTCTGACCCTCCCCTGCTCACGCTGTCTCTCTCTCCTAGAAATAAATAAAACATTAAAAAAAAAAAAGAAAATCTATTTACAAAAAGCACTGCCTTGTCACCCACAGAGTAGGATCTGACACCCCTCTTGTCACCTGGGAGCAGCGTGTCAGCCACCAAGACATAGGGGATCTCTCTGGATGGGATGAGAAAATGCCCAGTGGCCCTGGGTCCCTGCCCCCTAAGGATGGTGTCACCACCACTTCTCACCTTTCGTGTTTGACAAGCTCACGGCCAGAATCTCCCAGGTGGTGATGGAGTCTTTCAAAAATATATTTATGGTCTTTGTGGAGATTCTGGATGGGGGAGAAGTGGGGCATCAGGAGGAGGTAGGTGTCAGGGATGTGGGGGAAGAGCTGGTGTGGAGGGGCCCCAAGGGGCAGGTTGGAGGGGGGTGGGGGCGGGGCCCATGGAAGTAGATGGACTCTTGATGTTTTTCTAGACTGGGTTGTGGGGTTGCACAGTGATTCCAGAAAAGAGGGGCATGGGGTACATGTAAATGAAGTGGTCCAGCCGGGGCTGCTATAGGAGCTGGCCTGGGGGGTGGATTGAAGTGGGGGTATCTCAGCCTTACCCATCTTTCACAGGTTCTCTGAGTTCCTCCATGCGCCACAGCCAGCTCTGAGGGAACTGGCTTCGGGAAATAATATCTTCATCCAGGATTTCAGTCTCATCCAAGTCACCTGGGAGGCACGGGGTGAGGAGGGGGTAATCTGGGTTTAGAACAGACCCCTTTCTCCACTGAACCCAGAGATACTTATCTCTACATATCTGAAGCGGTTCCCACCAGCAAAACACACCACAGTCCATGATGGCAGGGGGGGATGGCGGGGGGACAGGCATGTTTGCCTTATTGCTCCTCCCCTCCCATTATTAAAAATGACAAACTCCACACCCGAAAAACAAAACAACCCAGTGAAGAAATGGGCAGAAGATATGAACAGACACTTTTCCAAAGAGGACAATCAGATGGCCAACAGACACATGAAACGATGCTCAGCGTCCCTCCTCATCAGGGAAATACAAATCAAAACCACACTGAAATACCACCTCACGCCAGTCAGAGTGGCTAAAATGAATAAATCAGAGAACTCTAGATGCTGGCGAGGATGTGGAGAAACGGACACCCTCCTACACTCTTGGTGGGCATGTAAACTGGTGCAGCCCCTCTGGAAAACAGTGCAGAGGAACCTCAAAAAACTAACAATAGAACTCCCCTATGACCCAGCAATAGCACTGCTAGGAATTTACCCAAGGGATACAGGAGTGCTGATGCATAGGGGCACATGTACCCCAATGTTCAGAGCAGCACTCTCAACAATAGCCAAAACATGGAAAGAGCCTAAGTGTCCATCAATGGACGAATGGATCAAGAAGATGTGGTTCATCTATACAATGTAATACTACATGGCAATGAGAAAGGATGAAATCTGGCCATGTGTAGCAACATGGATGGACCTTGAGGGTGTTATGCTGAGCGAAATAAGTCAGGCAGAGAAGGACAGACACCATGTGTTTGCACATATAGGAGGATTAGGGGGAACTTAACGGAGGACCATGGGGGAGGAGAAGGGGAAAAATAGTTGGGGAGAGGGAGGGAGGCAAAGCATGAGAGACTCTTGAATGCTGAGAACAAACTGAGGACTGATGGGGGTGTGGGGGAGGGAAAGGGGGGTGATGGGCATGGAGGAGGGCACTTGTGGGGATGAGCACTGGGTGTTCTATGGAAACCAACTTGACAATAAACTATTTTTAAAAAATAAATAAAAACGAAGAAAAGATAACACCACACCAAAAAAGTGACATTTCATAACTGTGTTGGTACAAAGGCAAAAATAGTCCAGGCAGGGTCATATTATTTCCCCCTCATCTGATTTTCACAGGAATGAAATCATTTGCGTGAGTCTCTGAGCAGGTGGCTCCCAGGCTCCGTGCCTGCTGCATCTGATGGTTGTGGTCCCCAAGCAAACAGGTGGCTCAAGAGACTCCTCAGAGTGTCTCCCCAGAGATGGGGTGGCCTTTTGAGCAGGCCTGACACCATCAGCGAGTAGATGAAGTATGGCCAGAATACGGTTCAACCCTGTCTGGGCTTTCCTCAAAACACGAGGGGCGATTGTAACGTGGCTCTCGGTCTGCCTAGAAACAAAGTAGGTGAAATCCACTGAAGCCTAAATCCACCTATATTGTGGAATAATCCACCAAAGTGCCTGTGGGATACAAACATACAAATAACTCTCTGTCTCACCCCAAACTGACTAAAGAAATTACACAATTTGGAGCATCTGGGTGGCTTAGTTGGTTGGTGTCCGACTTCTGCTCAAGTCATGATCTCACGGTTGGTGAATTCGACCCCTGCATCAAGCTCGCCGCTGTCCATGTGAGCCTGCTTGGGATCGTCTCTCCCTTCCTCTCTCTGCCCCTTCCCTGCATTTACAATTGCACCAAGAATTATAAAATACCTAGAAATAAACCTAACCAAAGAGGTAAAAGACCTGTACACTGAATACTGTAGAAAGCATATGAATGAAATACAAGAAGACACAAAGAAATGGAAAAACATTGCATGCTCATGGATTGGAAGAACAAATATTTATAAAGTGTTGATATTACTCAAAGTAATCTATACATTCAATACAATCCCAATGAAAATAGCACCAGTAGTCTTCACAGAGATAGAACAAACAATCCTAAATTTTTATGAAACCCCAAAAGACCCCAAACAGCCAAAGTAATGGTGAAAAAAACAAAACTAAACAAAAACCAAAGGTGAAGACATCACAGTCCTGGACTTAAGTCTGTATTACAAAGCGGTAATCATCAAGACAGTATGGTATTGTCACAAAGACAGACACATTGACCTGTGAAATAGAACAGAGAACCCAGAAATGGACCCATAAATGTATGGCCAACTAATCTTCCACAAAGCAGGGAAGAGTATCCAATGGAAAAAAAAGACAGTCTCTTTAGCAAATCGTGCCGGGAGAATTGGACAGCAACACGCAGAAGAATGAACCTGGACCACTTTCTTACACCACACACAAAAATAAATTGAAAATGGATGAAAGACCTAAATGTGAGACAGGAAAACATCAAGATCCTACATGAGAAAACAGGCAGAAATCCCTTTGGCATCTCCCGCAGCAACCTCTTACTTAACATGTCTCCAAAGGCAAGAGAAATGAAGGAAAAACGAACTGTTTGGGATTTCATCAAGATAAAAAGCTTCTGCACAGCAAAGGAAATAATTAACAAAACTAAAAGACAACAGAAGGAATGGGAGAAAGTGTTTGCAAATGACATAGCAGATAAAGCGTTAATATCTGAAACCTATAAAGACCCCACCAAACTCAACATCTAAAAAAAAATAATCCAGTGAAGAAATGGGCAGAAGACATGAATAGACACTTTTCCAAAGAAAACATCCAGATGGTAAGCGGACACATGAAAAGATGCTCAACATCACTCATCATCAGGGAAATACAAACCGAAACCACACTGAGATACCACCTCACACTGGTCAGAGTGACTAAAAGTAACAACTCAGGAAACAACAGATGTTGGCAAGGATGTGGAGAAAGGGGAACACTCTTGCACTGTTGGTGGGAATGCAAACTGGTGCAGCCACTCTGGAAAATGGTATGGAGCTCCCTCAAAAAATTAAAATTACATTTACACTATGACCCAACAATAGAACCTCTAGGAATTTATCCAAAGGATACAGGAGTGCTGATTTGTAAGGGCGCATGTACCCCAGGGTTTACAGTCACGCTATCAACAACAGCCAAATTATGGAAAGATCCTGAATGTTCACAAACTTATGGATGGCGATAGATATAGAGAATAAAATACTACTTGGTGATGAAATCTTGCCATTTGCAACAATGTGGATGGAACTGGAGGGTATTATCCTAAGCAAATTAGTCAAAGACAGATACCATATGATTTTACTCATATGTGGAATTTGAGAAACTTAACAGAAGACCATAGGGAAAGGGAAGGAAAAACAAGATACAAAGAGGGAGGCAAACTGCAAGAGACTCTTAAATGCAGAGAGCAGACTGGGGATAGATGGGAGTGAGGGGTTGGGGAGATGGGGAAAATGGGTGATGGGAGTTGAGGAGGGCACTTGTTGGGATGAGCACTGGGGGTTGTACGTAAGTGATGAATCACAGAAATCCATTACTGCAGCCAAGGCTACACTGCATTGACATACATTTATATAAAAAATATTTTTTAAAAAAGAAATTACACAAAGCTAGGGGAGAAAACACCTGAGCATGTGTAAGCTATATCCCAGTAGATTGGATACTTTTGTGTAATTTTCCTCCTTGAGAAAGCAAGTCTGTAGGTCGCTGGAGCAGAAGACAGCAAGCCTAGGTTAGAATAATTTGCACAAACTGAAGATACAGCCCTTTGCTCATGTGTATTGGGAATCTTTGTGTCTTTTTTTGGGGGGTGGTGGTGGTGGAAGAAGTGCTATCCTTCCAGCTAAAATAATTTAAAAATATTTGTTCCCTGGGAATGTCTGCCTTTAATAGGTACTGCATATTCTTAAGCAATAAATTTAAAAAATAAGTAATAAAATAAAACATAAATGTGCACTAAAGGTATGTGTTACTCTATAAGAAGTCCATATCTGCTGTCATACACGCTACGTAAAAACTGATTGTGGGGGAAATTTCCGTTGGCTTAAATTTTGCAATGATCTGATAGCAAAAAGAGGTTTAAACATTGACTATACAAGAATAAAGAGGAAGTCCACAGTGGAGGGACCCAGCAGACGGCCCCTTAATCATGTGATCAGGGCTCACGGCACCAACAACGGATGAATCAATGTCTTTAGGCTCCTGATATGATGCACTGAGAATCCAAATGTCTCTTCTGTGACAGTGCTGCCCCCAAATGCAAAGCCTGGAGGTCACTATGAGGACACATAGAGCCAGCCCAGACCGCGGGACAGCCCCCCAACAGCTGGCCGTGAAAGTCACTAAAAGACGGATGCACTGCCAGGGGTTGAGCAGATCCAAGGACACTAAGGAGACCCCACCAGTAAATACGACGTCTGTTCCTAGACCAGAACCTTTTCCTATAAAGGACCCAAACAAACCAGACCACCCAAGCCAAAGGGAAACCACTGGCAAACCTGAGTGGGGTTGGAGGGTTTGGAGGTGGTAACGAGTCACCATTAATATCCTAACTCTGATGACTGTGCTGTGGTTTTGTGGGAGAATATCTTTGCTTCTAGAAATTCCATACACAGCTAATTAGGGGTGGTGGAGTCTTAAACGGTTCAGAAGGATAAATGGTTCAATGCCCATTTCTCCTTTTACTGTTTGAGACCCTTTAAAGACAAAACCCAAAAAAGATGAGTATGTTTGCTTGGATTGGGCAGCCTGCTGCTGGGATGTTTCCCCATCTTCCTTAGTTTTTAAGCAAAGAGGTTCTGTGTTGTGATTTTTCATCCTGTGGTTGATAAGGAAATTTCTCTCGGTTTCACAAGCTGCTCGCACTGGCCTTTGTTCTTGGAGCCCAATTTGAATGACACCGTTTCTGGTCCCCCACGAAAATGATGTGCAAGAGAAGTGTTCAAACGGCCAGTGAGAAGGGTCAGCGGAGCAGTCGCCGCTCTGAACAGTGGTTAACAAGAGCAATCGGGGCCAGGTAGGCTGAGTGGGGAACCTGC